ACCCCACCCCACCTCCCGCCCGGGCGACGTCCAGGTTGACACACACCGTCCGGCTAGGAATGGACGGCGAGAGCTGTGCCACGCGCGTCTCCGGAGGAGGCTGGCTCGAAAGAGGGCTGGCTCGTCCATACCGTCGGATCGGTTTTTTTCCTCCACCCCACGGCGGCTAGATCTCCCTTCCTCCCTCTGCCCAGGCGAGGTGCTCGATGCCCCTCTTTTGCCTCGAACTTGCTGCCATCAATAATTCATCGGCTCCCAGCAGTAGCGGCGGCGGCGAGCAAGAGAGCAGCAGCAGCTTCGATAAGAGAGAGCGGGAGGCAGCAGGGCGGGGAGGAAAGAGCTGGTGCGTGAGCCGTGCTTGCCGGCTGCCTGCAGAGAGGAGGCGGCGGTGACAGCGGCGGCCGCTGTGGCGGTAGCAGCCAGAGTAACGGCGGCAACGGCGGCGGCGCATTCGGAAGTCTCCCTTCTCGCCAGCGCCGTCCCCAGCATTATGTTCCCGCAACGCGCGGCGGCCGCCTCCCCGGCAAAGGCCGCCGACGCCGAGGAGGACACGGGAGGATGAGGACAGAAGGAAGGCGAAGGAGGAGGAGGAGGAGGAGGCGCAGGCGGAGGGAGGCGGAGGAGGCGAGGCGGGGAGGAGGAGGAGGAGGCGCAGGCGGCGGAGGAGACGCGGAGGATGAAGTGGAGTGTCCGGGGAGCCTGCGCCGCGCTCTCCAGCTGCCTCCTGCTCGCCTGCGCGCTGAGCGCCGCCGCCGTGGGCCTCAAGTGCTTTTCGCTGGGCTCCGAACTCAAGGGGGAGCCGTTCCGCCTGGGCACAGCGGCCGGCGCCTTCTACTCGGGGCTCCTGCTGACCGCCGGGCTCTCCCTCTTGGGCTCCGCGCTCTTCTGCTGCCGCCCGCCGGACGACGAAGGGGCCGGCGGAGCGGCGCACCGCCAAGGGCACGCGGCGAGCGAAGGCGCGGTGGTGCCGGTCGCCGGAGACGCTCAGCCTCAGTCCCAGCCGCTGCCCAAGGCGCCCCCCGGCGGGCGACAGAACTTCCTCCTGCTGGGGGTCCTGGTTTTCATGCTGGGGGTGCTGAGCGCCTTCGCCGGGGCCGTCATCGACGGCGATACGGTGTCGCTGGTGGAGAAGAAGTACTCGCACTACTGCCTCCTACAGGTTGGAGGAGGAGGGTCGTCGGCTCGGCCGCGGCCTGCGGGGGGCCCCGACGGCTCGGGGACGACGCTGTTGCTGCGCTGCCAGAAGCTGCGGGACTATCAGCGCGGCTTGGTCATCTCCACCATCTTCAACGCCCTCGAGTGCCTGCTGGGGCTGCTCAACCTGCTCTTGGTCAAGAACTACAAAGCGGCGCAGCAGCGGGGCCTGCGCCGACGGCGGCGCTGCCGGCAGGAGCAGCGCCTCGCGGGCGGCCGTCGGAGGCGACGGAGGGGGGCCGGCGGCGGCGGGGGAAGTGGCGGCGGCCCGGGCGGCTCTGGTGGCGGGCGGCGGCCTCAACGCCAAAGCCAAGGCTCCATCTTCTCCAGCGAGGACCCGGATCTGTCCCCGGGGGGCGATTGCGCCTTCCAGGCCGTCTCCTACATCAACGTCGGCGTCTTCCACGTCTTCGACGAGGCCGGGGTGGAGGTACACTGTGGCGGCCACCCTTCCATCGAGTTGCCTGGGTATTCGCCCATGGACCCCGAGCTCAATGCCTCCTACCCCTACTGCTACCCGCTGCCCAATGAGCAGCCTCCTGCCTACGAAGACATCTATCCCAGGGAGCTCTGTGCCAACCGCGTCTAGGCCCCGGCCAGGCCCCCTTGGAGACTTCTTGCCCTGCCCGTCAGCCTACTGGACTGAGAGGGGCAGAAGGTGAACTTGGGACGAAGGGGGCAAAGCACAGAGGTTTAATGGGCAGGACCAGTAGCACAAGGTGAGGCCAAACCCCCCCTCCCCCCGCTGTTTGCCAGGACTCTTAACCCAGAAGCTGCCAAAATAAAAAATAGAAAACCAAGGTAGAACCCCAATAAATGCCTAGAAATGAGACCAGGCCGGTGTGTAGTGTTGGTCCTGCTTTTGGTAGCAAGTGGTAACTGGTTGGTCCAAACAGCTTTGCCTTCCTTTTCCCCCCTGAAGGCATATTTTTCTCTTCACTTCTGGTTGGAGAAGTCTTAAACAGAGTTTTAGAAAGTTGCCAGTATTTTGCAACCTGTTGGAGTTTTCTCCAATATATCCTGTTAAGATTTCTCTCTTTCTCTGCTACTGTACTTTTGGTTCTAGCACTAAAAGAAAAAGAAAAACATAGCTACCTGTTAAAGGGTTCAGCAAAGTGCATTTTCACTGATAAAGGTAATTGGGGCAATCTCGGGATGATGCTTTTAATATCCTTTTAATTTTTACCCTTACCGTCTTTTATCTTTTCAGTATTGATCAAATGGTGGACATTTCAGGGTTGGTTCTCACAGTTCTCTCATTTGGCTTGGATTGAAATCACCAAAAGGTTCAGCCTGACTGGCTTCCTCACCCTTCCCAGCATCAAATGAATCTTCATGACAACCTCAGCTTTAAAAGTGCAAAAGAGTTAAGTTCAGAGAACCAGCCAACAAGAGAGAGAGAGAGAGAAAAAGTACGCATAAATCTCTCAAAGTGATATTTCAGAGAGTTGAAAGGAATTTTGAACAAAGCCTCTTAAGTTTACAATATTCCTGGGAGATGTTAAGTTTAAATCTTAGTGAGAGTTAAAACCATAGTTGGTCTTGTAAGATGCACATAAATCTGCACTTTCAAAAGAAGAAGAAGAAAATCAACAGCAACATTTTTGTACACTAATGTGCCTGCTTTTTGTTGATAATTTCTTACTGTAAGAGCTTTCAAAAAGTCTATAGTGAAAATGTTTGGTAAAGTCATTGCAATGTAAAATTAAGAAAACCAATTCCTTAACTAAAACAGAAATGATATATCAAATTGAAGAAAGTCCCGATATCTCATACATTCCTTTTGTAAACTGATTCATGTTTTTAATGCAAAGCAGGGCTTATATTTATTTTACTTTTATTTTAAAGGTTTAACTCTACTTTCTAAAAGTACAGCCAGTCATTTGTACAAGTAGTTTGTTTATAGTGTTACCAACTGGTCAGTTTGAGAAGCTTGAAGATTGTGCACGCACACATACACAATTCACAAATGTCAGGCAGCCTTTATCAATGGTTATAGTTTTGCCCAAACTCATTTGAAATGTATTTTAGAAGTCATATTATGTCCATTTAAATGGAAAAGACTCAACAAGTGAAGGCTGAAAGTAGTTGTTTTTTTAAAAAAAAAAACCTTTTCATCTAGATTCCTTTCATTGTTGAACCAAAAAACCGCTATATCTGAAATCATATCTCTCTTTGTTTCGTTTTATTCTTCATTTAATAAGTACCAAGGGCTTCAAAATTATTTGGAAAAATAGTGCTGTAGGATGGGAGTATGTCCTTCCTTCCTTCCTTTCTTCCCTCCTTCCCTCCCTCTTTCCTTCTTCCTTTTATCCCTTCTTGATCTTACCCTGGAACTAGTAGGCAGTCTTATGGGGAGAGGGGAATTATTATTATTTTTCCCTATATGTGAATTAAAATCAGATGGAGAAAATTTTAGAGAAATTTGAGAGGAAGTGGTAGAACATGCACACAACATCGTGTTCCAATCAAATACTGATCCCATCTCAAATTCTATACTTGTTTTAAAATAGAAGAAACATTGTGAGATCTGATCAAAGATTGCCTGCATTATGTATACTTTACTGTTGGGAAATTAAATTCCATTAGAATAGCGGCATAAAAAGTTATTGTACAGAAGAGTTAAAGAAAGGTACTTATATCCATCTTTTTCACCCAGTATACCAACCTCATTTAGTAGCCTGGCTATTCATTAATGTCCTTAGAACATTATATTATTTTGTAAACTGCTATGTATATTGAAGGAACTGTATAAATGGTAATAAGAATTCATATTGGAACCTGTTATGGAATGCACACATTACCAATAGGGAACATTAAAGGACAATCATTTTGTCCTGTTTTTGCAATGTACAGATTATTTTTTTAAATTAAGGAGCTGAACAAAGTAAATGTTCAGCCTTAAATTAAAAAAATCAACAGCAGTGAAATCTCTCTGCAGTATTTTGTTATCTGAAATTGTTTTAACTTGCACACTTTATATAACTTAAAATGCAGAATGCCTTAGAACACTTAAAAACAAATTTAAACCTATATCTTAAAAAATATTAAAATCCTTATCTTAGCTGAATCAAGAGCATTTAGTCTACTTTGCTAAATAAATACAAATTTTTAGAGGACTGTAGCTATTATTAAACAAGATTATCCTCCTTTGCAGAGAATAAGCACAACACTCACTTAAGTATAAGATCTACTTGAAATCAGTACACATTTTATATATAATCTTTTTTCTAAATAATTATGAATTCTGCCTTGAGTTCAGAATTTAAGCCCTATCTGCAAGGAATTTCTCTGGCTCATAGCTCGTGACATGAACATAAATTACAGAACAGAATGGCAATATTGTAGCATGTCTCCCATTCATTTCATGTGGTATTTCAGAAAAGATGTTTTTAGTGAATTACACCCCTACAACATCAACTCAGGAAGGACTTTGAGTGTGTATATATGACCAAGAAAAAAAGGGTGCCAATGGCTAAATTTTCAAAAAATATCTGAGTAAAACCTCAATTCAAAAAACCCTCCTTTTTTAACTCAAACTAATCTATAATACTATATTTATGGTCCAGTAGAATGAGATACAGTCTAGACAACAGTGCATAAGCAAAATTGTCCCTGAGCTGTACCGTTTTAGATTGTAGTTAGGAACCACAGTGCATACTTCATTGATGTGCTGATATATCTTCCTCAAAACTCCTGTGCATACTAAATATAATGCTGGAAAAACGAATTCCACCTAGCCTTTCTTTTGCCGTGCTGATTTTCTATTTACAAGTAGATATTTTTTTCTTTTAGCACCTTGGGGCACTTTTCAAGTAGATATCCTTCCAATAACCTAACAACAGTTTAATTTAGGATGAGCTGTTCAGAATCTGAATGTTATTTAATTGCTAGAAATGTCTGAGTGTATATAGGTAGGTAAAGATAAAGCTAGGTAGAGTACCTACCTATAGGTAGATAAAAACAGGCAAATGGTTGTTACAATCTCTTAGGGTTTTCCTAGCCTCTTTCATGACAAGGCTGTAGTAACCCTTTGTCCAATCTAGCAACGACTTTTCATAGTTGTGCAGGCTTCCCCAAATCCTTTTTTTTTTTTTTGACTTTTCATAGTTGTGCAGGCTTCCCCAAATCCTTTTTTTTTTTGCTGGTATTTCAACTTATGTGATCAAAATAAGATGAAAAACAGAAGAGAACAAGGAAAACTTCAAAACAGACCCTGTCAGCAGAACATAAGGAACTAAGGTTGTTCTTGCACCTTATCCTAGCTCATTCGAACTCATGCTTCAGGAGAATGGTTAGGACACGGATCTCAAAAATTTTGACCGATGGGAATCTGAGAGGCGGTGTTGAGGACTTTGATCAACTGGCTGCGTTGGAGTAGTGGTGAACCACAGAACGCTATTTACCAAACTAGGCTCCTATTTTTTTTCTAAATATATCTGGTTTATGTGGGGGCCTAGAAATAGGATGAAGATACATCTTGTATTTGAGGATGGTGCTTTGCAGCATGCTAGCTTTCTTTTCACACACACACACACACACACCCGTTCAGCTTGTTTTACAGTAGAAACCTAGGGAAGGCATAATGGGAACCAAGGAATGTGTCACTCTGTTGGTGAGAGTGGCTAATTATATGCCAAGTGAAATGGCACAATCCAGGCAGATGTTTAGCAATTCATGTCATATTTATGAAAACTAAATCCAAACTTCACAGAAAAGTGTTTAGCAAGTATGAGCTCTAGGGACCTGTTAAGCAAGCTTTGAAAAATCCACTCCAATTTTTTTCAATGATACATAAAAGAGAGCTTATTTTAGATCAAATGTAGGCTTGAAATATAGTGCCTTAGGTAAAATTGATTAGAAGCCCTTTGTTTTAATGGAGTTTTGAAGCACTGAATCCTCTGACTTGGAGGTTCTGGAGAACTTATTCAAAGTCAGAAAAGTTTTCCCAGAAACTTAAGGATGGTACATTAGAAGAATGTTGCTCTTAACCCCATTGTTGTCTCTGTTCTCATAGGTTTTGAGTTTTAGTTAAAAGCTACCCAATCTTGTTGACAGTGAAATATTTGTGCATAGCAGCATGAGCAAAAATGTCTCCAAAATTTTGGTATAGGAGAGAAGAGTAGTTGTTGTGTGCCTATCATCTTAGTTTATTGTTTGAACTAAATTTTGATACAACAAAAGCAGCAAAATTTTCTCATATTTAGATAATGAAGGAATGAACGGAGAACAGGTTCGCTTCAGCAATGAAATGAGTCTATAGACACAAATGCAGTGGAAATACTTTTTGAAATAAATTTATTAAATGCCATTCTTCTCTAATTTTGGTAAAGAATGAAAGATAATTTAGTTTACAACAGACTTATGCCTGTGTCTCTTTGTGGTCTGCACAACGCATATAGAACATTTGCTAGAAGTTAATGATGCTCTTGAGAAGAAACTGCCCCAAACATTTAATTAGTCTTAGTTTTAGCCTTTATATTAGGCTTGTTTGGTTAGCTTGAATAAGAATAACCTTTCTCAAATGCTACCCAAGGTAGACTAGGGTATAAAGTCTTTCCCAGTAGCCTATTTTATCGTATCAGAGAT